CTTCCAAGCATCTCCTTCTGGGGTAAGACAATTTTCGCCTTGATTAAAACTTTCGGGAAGATTGCTGGAAGTGAGGCGAAAGCGGAGTTCCCCGACAAGAAGAGGTGCGCCTGGAAGGCTGATGATAGTAGAGGAATCCGGACGAGCGTGGAGGGAAAGGTAAACAATGGTCTCCCTGGGCCCCGAATCTGCGATACCACGTAAGCCATTCATTGAGCTTATGCCGAAAGCTGAGAGACGGTTTGGAAATGCCAGAGAGATCGACCCAATCGGTAGGCGATGGTCTCCGCTGATCCAAGGTGGATATCGGTGCTCTCTTGGTGTATCCAAGTTCTCTTCCCTTGCGACGCGGTTCCGCCTGTAACGGCCAACAATGTTTTAGCTTTCCGAAGGTGCTGAAATGCGAAAAGAGTACTTACCGATCTAGTTCCAGACTTTTCGTCGTCCGTACGACTTGAACTCGCACTGGCATGAGAGTATGGTCGCAGCCCCGTTACCAGCCGTTGCCGGAATTCAGTTCGCATGCATTTCAACATCTGAAACTCGAGGTGATTGGCGCGTCTTAACGCGTTTGACAGAAACGCCGCCATTATGGACAAGATAGTCAGAAGCCGAGCTCCTGAAGCTGAAGCCTCAAGCTTGCCTGAAGGCCTATGTGCGTCGTCTTCTCTGCCAGTGAACGTTTAGTGGGCAAACTTCGCACGGTTACAAGCACTCTTACATACAACTAACATAGAATCCCCACAATAGGGACGTTCAGAGTCCTTGCTTTCGACGTGCTTTCGACTTGATTTCGATTTGCTTTCAAACTTGATTTCGGACACGGCAGCTCCCGAAAGCGCCATTCAACTCTGATCGTGAACTCGAAAGCAAGGCGAAAGCAGGCGAAAGCAAGCCAAAGCGAAATGCCAAGCTCGTCGGAGTCTGAATTTAATTATGACGTGTACAGAGGTGTACCACATCATCCATTCCGATATGCCTACGTGTACAGAGAGACAACAAGCAGAAAACATAAAATAAATGGCTATACTA